ATAAATAAAAATATGAAATGAATAGAAATAAAGTTCTAAAACTTTAAAGAACAAATACAACTAATAATAAGCAATTAAAATGAGAAACAAGTTGTTCCACTTCTATTAGTCTCTCTCCACAGGGTATCTGACAGCCGACGTCGCAGTCGTCTGCCGCACTTTTACCTGTTTATTTTCTGAAGCTAGAAAAAAGAGGGGCGCCGCCTTGTTGATCGATTTGTTAGATACGCGGGCAGCATGCGACTTTGGTGTTGGCGTTAAACTGCCTGCAATTGTGTTTGGCTTGTATGTGCGTGCGTGTGTGTGTGTGCCTGTGTGTTGTCTTCTTTTTTAACCATTAACTGCGCGCCCTACAACTTTCACTTGTGTGTCGCAAGAGCCAAGCATAGCTACTATGGCCACAGTCCATGACTCGTGGCGGCATTCTCACTCGACTGTTGGATAACTTCCAGTTCTTCTTTCTGACAGGGCTTACGTAAAGTAATTAGCCGAGTGAGTGAAAACTCTGGTGACGACCCTCGCTGGCGGAGCCACCCAAGTGGTTGACTGCAGCTGCTGCATGCTGATTGATTTGTGACGACCTGTTTATTGACTTTGCTTGGGCTTTTACATAAGCCCTTTGTGTTTTTTTTTACCTGTTTACCACTTGTATTGCAACACACATTTGCGGAAGTTCGTCTTGGCCAAGTCGTCTTGGCCGTCGCGCATGCGCAATAAACCGTTTTTTCGTTTTATGCATAACGGCTCTGTGCACGCATTGACGCATTGCCGCATTGCCGCTCTGTTCGGTCAGACGGCGGGGTCCACGTAACAGCATTTGGACGCGTGCTAATTAACTGTGAATGGAAGGCAGGCGCAGGTGAAGAGTTATGCGGCTTTATTACCATTGGCCTATTATTGGCTAAGACTAACACAGAGAGTAACACTAAAACAGATCTAGTCTCTATAGGAAGGGCTTATTATCGTAACGATACGAGTCCTTGGCCACGCCCAGCGGTATGTAGTGCTGTCTAAGTGGTATCCAGCTGCTGCCGCTCGAGGATAGATCGCCATGGTAGCTCTTGATTGTTGGCGCCGAGGCGTGCACAATTTCCAGACGTTCGTGCGTTGGACTCATCATGGACTTCAAGGCCAGCAGGCCGGCGGCAGCCAGCGCTATTTTGCCCATGACAAATGATGAGGCCGAGAGCGCCGTTAGCCATTTCAAGATCAAGGGCAGCAATATAAACTTGGCCAGCAACGCCGCGCTCACCAGCGGAAAGAGCATCTTCATCAGCTTCTTGTGTTTGTGATGCTTGCCGCGAGCTAGCCAAAACGAAAATGTTAATTATGAGCGAAAGCGCAGATGAGATGTGGACGAGTGCTGCACCTCCAGCTGCCTACCTTCGGCTGACCAATTGCCCAGCAACTGGCTCAACTGCTGGCCGCTCAGCTCGCCGCTGAGCACTCGCTCCAGCTGCTGCTCTGCTGACTGCAGCCAGCGCTGCTCCGTGACTGTGGCTGCTGCTGCCAGCTCCTCTTCCTGCTGCTCCGCATCCTGTTCGACAGCTGCGACAATTGCACCACCCAGCTGCACCGCCGGTGGCAGCCCATGCGCCCATCCCACAGCCAGCAGGCAGGATATGAACAGTAAAACTTTAGACATTCCGCTTATAGTTCTATGCAGCAGCGCTCTGCTCGGGCAACTAAGTTAAGCTAACTAACTAAGTTAAAGGCTAGTGCGCCCGCATAGTGCAGCTCGTTGCACTCGAATGCACTCGCAGGGGCTGCTGTTCTGGCCAAGTGGCTAATAGCTGGATGGCTGCTGCTTAGCTCTTTTGTTCTCCTATGTGCACAGCTGTGCGGGGTATGTTGACTACTGTATGCAGTTTGTGAGGCAGAGGAGCAGCTACACTATGGGAGGTCGAGTTTCAGCTGTGCTCGTAACAGAATCAATGAAACTCTTAATAATGAATTCAAATGCAAGTACAGTACAGTTATACCCGGAAGCCGCTATAGTCATATATGTACATTTACTCATTAAAGTTTGTTTGGGAACCAGAAGAGGAGTCGTTATGGCCGGATACTACTGTAGCATTCAAAATTATATTTCTGATTATATTTTTAAATTTTATGCAAAACACACTCCTAATGCTCATATTATACAACAAACACCCTCAGAGCCCTTTCTCTTCAAAGAGTATTCAAGTTTCGTCGTCCTGCCATATTTTGATTTCTTTTTGAATTATTTTCTTTTGCTTTCTGTTGTTCTGGTTTTCGATTCGGTTTTACTTAAGCGTGAACGAACACACATTAAGTTTTCCCTACTTTAATAAACGGTTTCATCGTTCATGTTGTTGTTGTTGTTGTTGTTGTGATTGTTGCTGCTTGTTGGCTGTGCTGTTGCTGTTGCTGTTGCTGTGGCTCAGCCATCAACAAGTAAAAACTCTTTATTAACGCTGGCTATCATTTTGCTTGGCGCGTTGCGGTTCACTTGCCATTTTAGCTGAACAACACACGAACAGCATTTTTCCATTTCTAAATCGCAGTGAAATGCCACCTACAGACACGCCCCGTGCACCTACTCCTCGCCCTCCTCCTCTTCTTCGTCAGCCACTCAAAGGTCGCCGCGTATTTAAGGTCCGAGTAAACATGTTATTTTTTTTTTCATTTAACTTTAAATAGACTTTAAATATATAATATAATTAAATGTGTAATAAAGAAAAGATGCAAAAACAGAAACTAACTTCATTTGCAGTTGTAAAATGTTGTTGACTTCCATAATTCATTTATTTAGCAACATTTTACGCGCGCATCGCAAATACAATGGAAAAACGAAATTAAAGCGGAATTTCGTCCAATTAGCAGACAGAAAAAAAAACAACTCAAATACGTGCTTATATGGGAAATATTCCTATGATGAACTGCATTTTAATTGGCTTAATTAATATACGTTTTGCTTTAAAAATCAAATTTAAGTTCAGAAATAAAACAAAGTTTGTTGACAACATTTCGTTGGCAAACGGAACTAATTGTTGTTCAACTTTGGCTGTCGAAATGCTTCTGCGTGTGTGTGAGCGAGGGTGTGAGGGATGTCATGGTGCCTGCTAACGGTTGTTTTCGGGCCCGCAACACGCATACCAAATTGCTCCCAACTAATGCCAAATGCCAAACGCCAAACGCCTCGCTGTCGTCACATATCATGACCAGACTTTGGCAATGCCCTGGGCTTTTAGCGTCACTTGAGTGTTAATGCGATTTTCGGGCATCCGGTTGGCGTTGCCGTCGTTGTTGTTGTTGTTGTTGCTGTAGCTGTCAGAAACACCCTAACAAAGTTGGGGTATGATTCACTTGATCGGTACTGGAATAACTTTAATTATCTATAATCTATAATAAATGAAGAAATAACATTAAAAATTGTTTGTAATGAAATCAAAATTGTGGACATACAAAATTTGATAACTAAATCAAATTATAAAATAAATACAAAATTAATAAACATTATATTTCCTAAATCAGTTTATTGTTTTCTTAATTAATAAATGCAACTGACAAATGCAAAACATTTCAATAGAAAGTTTAAATGGAGGTAAAATTAAATTACAGCATCTATGAGCAGCAATATAGTAAATTTATAATAATTATTTGGAATACTACGATTACAGCTGACAACTATGTTTTCTGTTTGTGAAATGTATTATAATTAAAATAAATATTAAATTACTTAAACAACAATTCGAAATCAAAAGGCAGCCAAAGTGCGCTGGGTCTGATGCTAAGCTGGCGACTGTAAATACCCTACTGCACCTACACCTGAATATCTGAAGTTTGAGCTTGGGTGAGCGTATACGAATTTCGCATACCCAATAAAGTTGGCTCATCAACAGCCCAGCTAATAAATTACTTAATTCGACAGTCGACAGTCGACATTCGACGTTCGGCATTTTATCAATTTAATCAATTTAATCTACCGTCGTTAGCTATTGAGCTCGCCTCCCATTAAGTGGAGCTCTAGTTTTGAGGTGTTAACCTATATCCGAAATCAATCGCCGCCGCTGAACTCAAATTTTCTTCAAGACAATCGCTTTGCTGGAATGGCCAACACCTGCCGACGACTTGAGGCTCATCACGGCCGTGAACAGGGCGAAGAAGAAGCCGGCCAGGCCCGTGGTGCCCACCAGCAGCGTCAGCCCTCCAATCAGCACCGGTATCAGGGTCAGAAACTTTAACTTGTACGCAATGAGCAGTGGCAGCAGTAGTTTCTGAATTTTCTTCTTCAGTTTTTTCAGCTTGCGGCCCTGAATGCTGCCAGCCAGCTGGCTGCCACGGACTTGAATTTCCTTTGATGTTGTTGTAGCTGTTTCTAGTTGTTCCTCTTCTTCTTCCTCTTCTGTTGCTGCGTCTATGCTCCGCCCAACCAATTTAGTTGACAGGATATCTGCAAGGAGAGGCAGCTCGAGCTTTTAGTTAATTAAGTGACTAGACCTTTGAGCGTCCAAGCGCAACAACAGAGTCATGGACACCGTTCATCAGCGACCAAAAAATAATAATAATAATAATAATGTATTATAGTGGGATGTAACGAGCTGCTGGGCACTCGCTCAAATTTTAATAAAAGTTTGAAGGGAGATAACTTTGTGAAAGGACTTGAAAATATTTATATATTTTTAAATATTTTACAATGGCTTTTTTCTATGAAATTTCGTAATCAATATATACAACAGTTTAATCTCCTTCTATTGTTAAATTTTGTTAGCCTTAATGCTATGATCAAAATAATATCGATTAGCCTTTTGAATGTATTTATTACACATTTTATGTGCTTCAGCTCTTTATTGTCTATTGTTGAAGATATAGGCTCACAACTTTGGCCTCTGTCTGGCCCAGGAATAATGGAGTTTGTTGTTCAGATATATCAATCCACAGCCAGTCAGACAGATCGCAACACACTCGTTCAATTTGCTGAGCGAGCATTGATACAATATTATTAAAAATCAAGCTTACTTGTCTCCAACGACCTCAGTTCCTGATTTAGCTCGTGTCCCTCGTCCCAGTCCTCTTTATCCTCCCCGCTGATGAGATCTCGCACAGTGTCACAAAAGGTGCGCACCCTGCGCACGGCTCGCTCAAATGTTGTCAAATAGTTGTTTATAAGCTGAGCCGTTGCTGAGGTGGGCTTAGCCAGAACATCAAGGACCTCATCAGCGGCGTTTGTGTAGGTGTTTGTCACGCGGTTCTTGGCTTCGCGTGCTTCCGGCTCGATATGTCCCCTCTGCACGTCCGGCACATCCTCGCCGTTCGGCAATTGATGGAGAGAGGGGCTCAGGGCCCACACGTAGCGTGGAGCCGCCGCATTGAGATTGGGTCGCACCTGTTTGTAATTTCCGCTGGGAGCATCGTTTGCGGCAGCAGTCGCAACCGTTTGATAGCGATGATTGTAGGCGTAGTAATTGACAGGAAGTTGCCCTTGTGGCTGCTGCTGTTGTTGTTGTTGTTCTTGTTGCTGCTGCTGTTGTCGCATGGCTGTTGCCGCCGTTGCCTGCAGTATCAGCCAATTGTTGTGGCCCGTCAATGGCTGCCAGGCGTTGAGCTTTACTTGTAGCTGCTGATGCGGCTCATTGTTTGTTAAGCCGGAAGCAACGCCATTAAAGCGAGCATCCATGCCGGCCTCGGTCTGTGCGAGTGCCACATAAACGGTTAACACATATACCTGCCACACTTGCTGCCACATAGTTTTAGGTGTCGAGAGCACGAACCACACCGCACGCTGCTTAGAATCGAACTGAGTGCCAAGATGTAGTTCAATTCTTTGAGGCTCTCGAAAATGTTTACGACTGTTTTAGTTGAGCGATTTTAATGGCCTTTCGCCGAAAGTGGCCGGCACTAAATGCTGGGCCCCAGCTTGGCTGTAAATGCAACCAAGTTGACTTTTACTATGCCACTAAGCGTGGCTGCCAAGCGTGGCTTACCACACACTCTCACACACACACACACACACACATATACACACACCTGCCACACGTCTAATTATGCGGTTAGCAGGCGGATTCGATACTCAAAATTGCAAAAGTTTTCAATTGTCGAGCTCACACACACACACACGTCTCCAATGAAGCATTAATTCTTAATTAAAATATATGTATATGTATATAATACACAAAAATATCTGGTGGGACTATTTACAGCTCTTGTTTTCACTTTTGCTGCCTGGTTGCGTGTTGCAAGCCCTCTCGATGCCAACTGCCGTCTGCCGCTGATATTATGATTCTATATAAGACCCAGTGCAAGTCCGAGCTCAGCTGGGAAAGTGTGGCCAATGCAATCATTCAGCCCAAGCACTTTGAGGCAACGTGCAATGCTAATTGCCAGCGCTGAACTTGCAACTTGCAACACAATTGCCTGCCTGCCGGCCTGCTAATTGGCGCCTGTCTAAGCTACAAACTGTCGCTGTCAGCGAGTGCCGCCGATTTAAGTTGCAGCATGCCACAGCTGCGCCTAAATGTCTTCAAATGCCGCCTGTCTGCAGTTGCATGCGCTTTTAGGCGCCTCGCTTGGCGCTGTTGCATGTGAGTAAAAGTGTTGCCAGCTTTTAAGCTTCTTTTCCGCACTTGTTGCCGTGGCCTGTTGCATACTTTTGAGGTGGGCCCCCACTCTCGACTGTAATTGGATTCGGTCCACAGCATGTGCTTCGCATGCCACAGGATTCGGATTCTCTAAGGAGCCCCTGCCCACCTCCACCCGCTGCTGTTTCGACWTGCAACAGCTGCTGCTGCTGTTGCTTAAATTGGTTACGTGCTTCATCATGCGAAAGTTGTGATTGCTGAACTTTTTTATTTTATTTAAGCGATAGTTTTTCAAGCTGAGATACATATCTGAGCGAGCTGGCTCAATCGAGTATTCATAGCAGCAATCGCAGAATGGGAACCGAAAGGGAATTTATACAACTATTACACGCATGTATATGATAGGGCCCAGTGGGTGCCATAAATTGCAGATGTTTGACATGATGTGAAATACGCTGAATTGGCAATGGATTTCTTATGGCTAAACTGAGGCCAAAATTCGACCGTTTTATAGCTTATTTAGCTATACAAGAGTATCAGAGCTAAAGCACAGCTTTATTTCGGTGATGTATCTCTTCATCAAAATATAGCTGTGCTTTAGCTGATTGGCTAGCATAATAATTCTACATTCAGTTGGAAAATTAACCTTGATTAAGTCTAAGAAATATTTTGAAATGTGTAAGAGCTGATGTGAGCCAAGTGTTTGCCTTTGTATTCTTGAGTAAAATATGAGATGATTTAATTAGCAATCTTTATGTTCAATGAGAAATCAATGATAGCACAGAGCATTTGTTGAGGTCGCTCTACAACATGTCAATTTTTGTATGTTTAGCGTTATTATTTTTGATTAGCAATCAGTCAACGAATATATATGACCTCGAGCTTGAAATATTTAGAAGCTAAAACATGTATAACATGTATATGTCAAGATGACTTCTGCTGTAATGGCCTAGAAATATATTTATAATTACTTCTTATTATGTATTATTAGTTATTTCTTATGCTTCAGCTGCTGCATTTGATGGAGGGGATGTACCTTTAAAATATGTAAATTTATATATTACTTATGGTCTTTCTAAGCAAATAATTTATTATTTCTAACTCTATGCGCTTGAAATGTGAAATCTTTTGTCTAATTATTTAAAAAGAGTCTTTTGTGTGTGCGATTCACTCATTGATAAATTTAGCTCTTTGGTGGGACAGCAAGCGAGTATTATGCAGTCGTTGTCATCTTAGCTCTTCAGATAAGCAAAGCTTCAATTCATCTATTTATCAAGAGCTGCTTAAAACTAAAACTAGAATTGATTATTCTCAAATTAGGTAATTAGATTATTAATTAATGGACCCCGCTCAGCAACAAATGCTATTCCTTATGCAAGTCAAGAGCAGCTTGTGTTAACTCCATCGGCCATCTGCCTTTACTTTCCTCGTCATATTTCATTGTCAAGGCGAGCGGCATGGCCAGATGCAATCATGCATGATGCCCGCTGGAATCATTTAAGGCTTTAATGTGTTTATTTAATTTTTATGGCCGCAGTCTCATTAAATGTTTGCCAGTGTGTGTGTGTGTGAGCTTCAGAGTGTTATAAACTGGTCACATCTACCTACACTCACCTGGCGTGGTGCTGGTTGAACAACAATTTGACTGTTTGACTAGCGTTCATTAAAGTCATAAATTAATTTAGCTCAACATGCAGATGCACAACAACAATGAGCAGCATAAACCAGTGAATATTAGTTGATTTTTTTATATTTTTTTATTGTTAGTTTGCCAACCGAATTAATTGGATTGAGAGCAGAGTGTACAAAGTATGCAGTCGATTGTTATTGAACCGAATCTGATTTGATAACTTATGTTGTATCTTTTAGTTCCAAATGAGATGCTAATTAATTCGAGCAGAACTAGTTTAAGATCCACACTTCCTAAGCGGTTACTAATGCAAATAATAAATAAATATACTTTCGGAGCCACAGCCACAGACCTTTCCAGAGGCCATCTCTCTCGCACACACGCAGACTCATGCCCGGCTGGCCAAATTGTGGCTGTGCTGTCTTCTCTTTGTTGGTGTTGTTCTTGGCCAGGCTAAGTCGGTTTGATGCGCAGACAGCTGGGAGGCGTCTGCTCATAAATTGAAAGCGCTTTGCTTAATTCGAATTAGTTTTTCGCCTGCTTTGACAGAGTTCGGTGCGCTATGAAAGTGAGTTAACCAGCTGCCAGGATTCAAGGACTCAACTCCTTTCACACATTGCGAGCACAGTCACTAAGTATCCCTCTCTCTCTCTCTCTCTCGTTTGTTCAGCTGTTTGTGTGTCTCCTCGTGGTGGTCGCCACATTGGCAACAGCTCAAGCTGGACTCCTTGGCCTCCTAGGCAAGGGCGGCGGCGGCTACGGTGGTGGCGGCTATGGCGGTGGCTATAGCGGCGGCTATGGAGGCGGCTATGGCGGCGGCTATGGCGGCGGCTACGGCGGCGGCTATGGCAGCGGCGGTGGCGTCCAGGTCATCAAGGTGATCAACAGTGGAGCTGGCGGCTACGGTGGCGGCTATGGTGGCGGCTACGGTGGAGGCTACGGCGGTGGTTACTCCGGCGGCTATGGTGGCGGATACGGTGGCGGTTATGGCGGCGGCTATGGCGGTGGTCATGGCGGTCTGGTCCAGGTCTACAAGGTCATCACAACCACCGGCGGCGGCTACGGCGGTGGCTACGGCGGCGGTTATGGTGGCGGCTATGGCGGCGGTTATGGCGGCGGCTATGGCGGCGGCTATGGTGGCTCCTCCGGCTGGTGGAAGAAGAAGTAAACGCCCGACTAACTGTAGAGTAAGGAGAACGTAAAATAAAAACTGAAAAAAAAAAAAACAAAAATTATTGTTTGCCAAATTTTTAAATTACGACTGCAGCTGAGTTATCCTGTATAAATTCAGGATCAGATATCTTTAATCAGTGACTGTGCGTGAAAATCCGATCCGAAGAGCCAACGGGGATTTACAGAGGGATTTTGTTAAGAATTCATATAAAGTCTGGAATATTCTGCCATTAATTTTAGTTCAAGGTTACTAAACCGGTTTGATCGCGGAACTGTTATTTCTTAAACACTATTTTAATGATTTAAAAAGTTTCCCAAAAAATCGTTTAAACAAATAAAAATGTAAATTAGTTGCGTGCAACAAAAAGAAACCGCTTTCAAAATCAGAATTTAATCGTTTCTAAAACACTTTAAAAGTCTCTAAACGGCATAAGCTCTTACAATACTCTGTTCGACACGCCCACCAAAATACGTAAATCAGTTCTTATAATTTGCATAACATAAAATGGTCTTTCATTTGGAGTACGGGCGTCATTTGGCAGATGCGGAGGGACAAACCTGTATATCTGAAAACCAGAATAGATTATCAGTTAAGAGCTTAACTCATCTTCGATTAATCAAGCTTAATTTATGCCGCTGATAATTATGTAAGGGTTACAGCTCAACATTTAACAAGCGATGCACAGAAGCATGAGCATTGAGCATTTGTCTGTTTCTTTTCATTTAATTCTTTGGAAACTTGAAATCGGTTTGTCGAGCTGCGGGCTTGACATTGAACTTGAGTGAATTCTGTAGGGGATTTTTCCATAAATTAATTAGCTGTTTCTGTCGCCTTTCTAATCGGACAAGCGTTAAAGATATTTTTGCCGAGTCATTTCATAATTAGCCGCAGTCGCTGGCAAGCGCATATTTATCCGACTATATAAAAGATTCCGGTTATTTATTTTCGCATTGCATGCATTTGTCCTCTGGAATTCCCTGCAGGAGCAATAAACTTCAGTGCCGGCCTCAGCTGGCGCAGTCGTTCGTGAAATCATCTAGAGGTTCAAGGCATGGGCAGAGGCAGAGTGTGTGGGCGCTGCTCGAGTGGGCGGGCAGACGGCGTATGGAGACACAGGATACGCAGGATACGCGCTGGCAGTCAGCACAAAGGTTGTCAAGGACACTGAGCAGCTTGGCATATGGCGACCGGATGGCAGGAAGTGTATACGTGTTCTCTGCGTGCAGCTACATCAGCATACGGCTGAGGACGTGAGGCCGCAGCTGCTGAACTTTAACATGACCTTGCGACAGATAATGCCTAGACACTTTAATAAATTGAACCAAGACAGCGTTTCTAAACGTAAATCTTTTATTTATATAAATATTTATATGTATAATTTGTAATTGTATTTGTATTTGTGCTTGTATTCTTTCTTTTTTTTTTTTTTTTGTTACTTTTGTGTTTCTTGAAAAACTTTGCTGCTTACATGCGAGACACGTCTAGAGTTAAGAAATAAATAGTGTTAATAAATTATTACACTAGACTACAGTTAAATGAATTAAGCTTAAAGCTAATCGAAAAATGCGCGCGTGAAAAAATGAGCTGGAAACGAGAGCAGAAGCCGAGCAGAATGAATGAAAGAAGATAAMGTGAGTGAGTGAATGAATAATTGAAAAATAACAGGAACTGGGAGTGCAGTTAGCTGGCCAAGAGAGTCGGAGTCGAGATAGAGAGATAAAGTTCAGACAGACGTTGCACTTGAATAGCTGTAAACGGGCATAGAATGGAAGCGGAACTGGGTGCGTATTACGCAAATCGATTTGTGTATTATGCAAATGCCAATGATTAAGTTAGCTTCACGTTACAGATACATTTGCAGCCATGTATCCGCAGGTGCAACTGCGCATTTGACCGTTGCTCGCCGTGCTGAGGTGTGCGAAAAGAAAAAGTGAGCCGAAGAAAGCAGTTGATGAAAATCTAATTACAATTTGCCAGCCCTGTCTCGTCTCAGTTTGTCAGCCCCCCGTAGATTTATCTACAAGATAAATGCAGTCGAGGGAGCTATGAACTTTGTGTGTGTGAATATGTTTCGCTCTATGTCTGTATATATGTGTGTGTGTGTCGTCTATGACTTGACCAGCGCTGGCTGCGTTCCCAGTGGCTGCTGCTGCTGCTGCTGCTGCTGAAGGGCCGCCTGTTGCCTGCTGTGCGCACGATATGCCATCTCCTGCGCCTCGGTCAAGGAACGTCTGTCCCAGCCGCCGCCGCCACCGCCACCGCCGCCCGAGGACCAGCCGCCGCCGCCACCGCCGCCCGAGGACCAGCCGGAACTGCCGCCCGACGATTTGCCAGCCATCAGTTTCTTCAGCCCAATGATGCCGGCCAGGAGCAGAGCAATCTTGGAGATAATCAACGCCTTGCCCGCCAGTATATAAAGCGCGCCCATGGCAATCGGCAGCATGCCCATCAGCTTGGTGGCCATCATCATGGCCATCATCATGCCCATCTTCTTCATCTTTCCGCGGCCTGCAACGAGCACAATAAAATACATTTAGCAGTTGAGCTTAAAGACATAATTGTAGGCATATATGTTGAGTGTGACTGGAAATCACTCTTAGCATGAATTCCCACACGCTTTCCACATAATTCCTGCAGCTGTAAACAATGACTTTGTTCAGCTTGATGCTTGGCCTTAATGTCAAGGGAGCGTTCCTAGCTCAGGAGAAAGTTCCCCAGCCACGAAGGCAGCGCATACAACTATATATGCAATGTTTATAAATATGTTTTGTTATATATGTATATTTGATAAAGCTTTGTTGCTCGTATGACTTTCGTTTAGTTGCAGTTGCTTGCATTACTTTTGCATCAGGGACATTTTTGGCGATTTCACTTGCTCAGGTGAAAATCCAAAGGGGGGTGCGATCTGCGATCTGTGCAAATGCAACCGAAATCGAAGTCAATAACAAGATGCGATTGCAATTAACTGCGAATGGCAGTTGGGAAAGTGTTGGCCATGTTGAGCAACTGAATATCTTGATCTCGATCAATAATATGAAAGTAAAAAGAGGAAAAATATCATCCATGCATCGTGAAAGTAAGTAAGTTCGCTTTTCATTACGAGAAAATATTTGCGGGCTGCGCTGCTGTCGCTGCGAATGCTTTAAGTGCTTCTGTCAAATTTGTAATTGATGCAAAGCGCACTCGCCTGCCAGCCAGCCAGCCAGCCCACTAGAAGCCGCAAACACCAAGCGGGCCAAGTGAAACGTGGCCGACACTTTCATTGGGCTGCGCATTCGACATGGTCATGACATCTCAAAGCCCGCCACAAACTGCGTGGCGTGTCATAACGTGTCGTGCCGTGTTTTCGTGTGTTTGCAAAGAGGCCGTATTTAAATGTACTTCAACTCCAAATGAGTCTTAACTTTCGGCGGTTCTTTCTATTTTTCTTTTTGCTGGAGTCCATTAAAGACCAAGTGTATTGCCCTGAGTTATAACTGTCTTGTTATTGTTGAAACGCTTTTCTTTGCGCTTTTAAAGCTGTTGAGTGAAAACTTGTATGGAAATTGTTTGGTTGGGGATATAAAGATTTTTTTTATTGATAATTGAAGTGCTTGGTAAGCCTCAATCAGAGCACATTGAGAAAGTTTTAAAAAGCTCTTCCCAATTATTTAATAATAATTTGAAAAATCTTAAAAGGTTCCGAATTGCTTAGTTTAAGTTTTCTACAACTGAAGTTGCTAGATTTCTACAGAAATGAGTTTGAAATTATTAGCAGTGATATGTATTATATAATATTATTTATGTATGCCATATATTGAATATGACATATGAAATATATAACCTATTGATAATCTTAAGCTAAATATGAGATTACCCATTAAGATATAATTCATATTTAACAGGTTTATAGTCTAAGCATGTTATTGATAGGCTGCCTACCCTAACTTAATATTCTAAATTATTCTGCACGGCTTTCAATTTGCATAACTTAGTTGTAGCATAACAGTTTTGTGGAATGAAAAAATCAAAAGCAGATTTAAAAATATTAACATACACTTATTAACATACTAGCATAACTAATTTTACATTTGAGAGGATTAGGAAACTGATTTGTAATAATTGAGAAACATGAAAAACATTTGACTTTGAAATATTCTCGTATTTGAAAATATAAAAAAATCTAGAATTATTTTTTATTTTAAATTTCTTGATAATTATTATCAAGATTTTGTCGTTTCTTTTTTTGCTGAACTGTAAAATTGTTTAAATTTATTCTTAGCTAAATTACTTCCATATATTCCACCAAATTAAATTCTTCTATTTTAATTTTTGTTTGTATTGTATACACAAACTGAAACTGGTTTCTGATTTCAGTCTATTACAACTGAATTCCTCTAATGAAAAATATTTATATCAATCTTCCACTATCCACAATTAACTAAGACCGTTAGCTAGCTGTTTAGTCTGGACTTTATATCTCTTTCAGCCCTGTGTTTACAATTACGAATTGAAGTTTTTCCCAAAAACTCTCTACAAATGAAAGCACTACATAAACTCTGTTTCCAGGTCTCTCAACAGCATTTACGTTCCTGCATGCGTTTATCTGTCTGCTCATGTTTATGTTTATTTGTGCGGGCTAACACGAAACTCTGGCATGACAATTTTTGTTGTTTTTTTGCTGTCATTGTTGTTGTTAAGGTTTATGGGTCAATGTAAGTTTTTCGAACGAGTTTTGACTACTGTGCATGTGTGTGTGTGTAGGCTTGAAAACAATTGCACATCTTCCCATAGACTAGAATTTTCCACGCTGCGCTCTTAGCATACAATGCAAGCGCGCGGCAGTTGTTAACCCACTTCCTGGCTGCCAATGTCATTGTCAGCTATTCAATTAAGCCTGGTCTGTATGTGCACAGCATATATAGACACGTATAAGTATATATTTATAATGTGATATGTGTTGCCAACAACGCCTGGCTCTAATAACCGTCAATTACGAGCGGAGCTCTGGCAAAATTATGTCACTGTCACGCGCAATGGTTAAATGCATGAAGCGATTAACATAACTGCAATTACAGACAACTTGCGTGTATGTGTGTGTGTGTGTGTGTGTGTGGGGTGTGTTATGTGGCATGCTTACCTTCCTCGAGTCCGCGTCCAATCTCATCGGAAGTCAATTTGGGGAAGCTGACCTGCAGCGAGTGCCCGTTGAAGAAGTAGCTCAAGCGTTCAATCAGCATATTCGTCAGCTTCGCATCCCGATCGCTGCCGGAGCGGGCCAGCGAGGACTCCAGTTCGTTGTCGCTGTAGGCGGGTGGGCGTGGCGCCGTCTCGAGGCGCACCAGCTTGATGCCATCGGCCACATTGATGGCATCGATGGGCGCAATGCGATCGATAAACGATATGGCCTTCTTCTTCAGGCATGGCACAAAGCCGCTCTCGGCCCGATTGCATTCATCATAGACCCGGAGCAGAGTGCGTGCGCCCGCATTGTGGCTGCTGCTGGCGGGTAGATTGCTTAGCTGCTCGGTGGCCGCATCGCAGCCGCTGCTGCTGAGGCTGATGGCCAGGCACAGGCCGAGCAGGAGCACTAAATGCTTTTGCCTGAATGTCATTTTCACGCACACTCACTGCTGCACTAGACACACGCGTCTTAGCTAACACACACACGCACACAGAAACACGCACGCACGCACACACACGCGTCTGGACTAATCCTGGCTGGGTATGTGATATCGTTGGCTTTGCCTTGGAGCGCGTCTTGCTTGCACTGCCAGCTGGTTTCAATCAAACTGATGGCCAGCCTTGGCGCGCCTATTCTTATATAGACCTCGAGCTCGGCTCGAGCTTGACTTAATCGCAATTTGATTTTCTTCGTGCTGCAGTTGTTCAAGTTCGAGTTGGAGTTGGAGTCGGAGTTGGAGTCGAGACTTCGTGTCTCTAGTTGCCGTTGCTGTTGCCGTTGCTGTTGGGTAGTTGCTGCCTCTAATGATCATTGCGCTGCCAGCAGCAACAGCAACAGCAGCAACAGCGGCAACATCAGCGGCAACAACAACCGCAACGACTCTGGACGTGTTTTTTTTTTTTCTTTCTTTTTGCCAGCCGCTTTCGTTGTTTATGGCCAAATATATTAGTTGAATTTGTTGCCTGGGTAGGTGTTTAGCTTTTTGACCATTTTCAACTGGCTGCCGTTTTGGTCAACATTGTCGCTGCGGCTGCTGCTGCTGCAGTTGTTGCTCTTGTCGACACTTTAATTTCAATTTGGCATTTGCCAATTTTCGCCTCGCATTTCTATTGCCATAAAGAAAGTATTTATTAACCACTAAACGCTCGCAATTTGCAGCTCAATTTTATTATGCAAATTTCACACAAAGGAGGCAACAACAACAACATCAACAGCAACACCAATAGCAACTCTATTTAGCATCCGATCAACACCCAGCCTATATCTAGCTGATGGCCAATGCAATCGAGGGCTTTCAGCTATCATGATATGCATCTATTAGAGCCAGGCCAGGCCATTGACTTGCGGCTGCTGCTGTTGCCGCTGCCGCTGCCGTTGCTGTTGCCACAAAAGACAAATTGTTGGCCCTGCCTCTGTTGGCTGTGTTTTATGCATGAGCCAGCATCCGCTGAGTTTCTCATAGAACGTGCCACATGAAGTCGCACTGGCAAACAGGCAGCCAGCCAGGCAAAAGGAAAGCTGCCGCATAATTGTGGCTTTGAGCCAACGTTAGCAACAAATATTTTCCCCAAAAAGACCAGCGGAAATACTTTGTATGTGTTTGCGTGTGTATGTGTGTGTGTGTGTGAGTGTGTGTCTCTTTATCTTCTGGTATTCTTGTCCAGTGCTTTCGCCCAGCTCCAGTCAGCTCCAGTATTGGGCACTTTATGTGGCAGGTGCTGCGACCACAAAGGGATTTGCTCGCATGCCACTCAACCTGGCTGCCCAGCCTCCGCTCATTTCTCATTTCGGATTCCGGCCCCGAAGCTTCGCTCGACTCATTTTCAACTAATAAAGTCGCAAATTTAGGCCCCGCAGCGGCACCTGTACAGGTCCCACAGTCCAATGACTGTCGTGTGCGCCGGCTACTTGTTGCCCACAGAAGGCACTGCAGATCGGATATATACGAGTCCAAGATTTCCCTCTTGTTGTTTTTGCCGTCGCTTTCTGGGCCACTAATTTTTGATTTTGGCTGCCGCAATTTCCACTTTACTTTCACTAATGCCCACCAAATGGCCCACCAGGGGCCAGGGGCTCGGGGCCCAGGGCTTGGGATAGGGCAAGGCCTTCGATTTGCATGGATCGCTGGATGTTATTATATTTGGTTTGTTTGATAGCATTACGAGTACTTTTCAATGCTGATGAGCAGTGGTGAATGGCGCTCATTTCAAGTACTCACATTGCTGTGCTGTCCTTAAGTAAGTAGGTTCACTGACCGCTTCAGCCCGGCTGCATAATATTGCCATGGAGAGAGTTGGACGGACCCTCAAGTTGGCTAAGACCGCCATTCAAAGAGACGAGCATTTCATTATGTCCATACAAAAAATATGAACAAAAACTTTAAGCCGCGCAGACAGTTCTCATTTGTTTTTGTGTGTTTTTAATGCCCAGCTAGGGTATAGCGCTGCTGAGGTAAAGGTGAACGACCAAAACTTTAAATATATTGTAGTAGTGAGGTAGAGGGTAAGTTATACTAGAGCTTTATACGAACTATTCTTTTAGATATTAAATTATTAAATTGTGTATTCTCTTATATACTATTTTTCTCGTTTCGAGTACCAACGAAAGAATAATAAATATAAATTGAGACACATTTAGATCTGATTGCAGTGAAGTCTATAACGAAACATAATTGCTTCCAATAATTTTACAGGGTATCTAATGCTATACTATATTTATGTTTGTACCCTTTTTAAAGGGTATCTGCTTATCAAAACAGGGTATACTCTTCTCGTACGTAACAATATAACGCATATTCTATGTCGAGTTGTTCCAATGTTTAATGATAATAATTCTATATAATACATATACCAACCAGGGCATCTGATGTCAGTCAAACAAGGAAAAATAATATTAAATTTCATATACCTGCAGTGAATATGCATTACTCTTCTACTAAATCTGGCAAAGGTATACCTCTTAGTCAATATTTCATATTTATTACAGGATATCTTTTACTATTTTGCAGCAATGAAACTCGCATTAGAGTATTCTCTCTCTTTCGATCCATCGTAACTGTTTAGTAAAGCTTTTACTAACTTTTCCCAGGGCATCTCACAGTCAATCAATTCGCATCATCTCGTCCGTCCGCTGCTCTTTCTCACTTTGACAGCTCCGCATAAGCATTACATCTGTTATGCACAAATTTCATGCCTGACATCTAATAAGCTCGCTCGTCGCCACGAGTTATGCGCCTCAACCCAACTCATGGATAATGCAGACCCGTCGAAGCCGTCAAGCTGTCCATTGCGTTGCCCACACTAGGGCCGACGAGTCCACAACAATCACACTGTAACAGATCTATTCTTGTGCGGGTGCAGCTGCCTGGTTAAACACAAGCGCATCTGTGGAGATATGTTTCTCTATATGTTTCTTGGACGACTTCAGTGCACGCGAGCCCGAAGCTAAATTGTCTGAATGAGTGCCAGCGGCAAGGCCAAGCAGTGCCGCGGCAGACATTACACTCTCTATTGGCCGCGTCGCGTCGTTAGCCGGGCCAACCGCCAACCACTAGCCGCAGAGCATAATCCGGCATCTGGCTGTGACACGCCTTGCACTTTTCTCTCAAGAGCCATGAGATTTTTCACTGTTTCTGTGAGCCATTTTGCGGTCGAGACCAAAACAAAATAAAATACAAAGTAAAAAAAAAAAAACAAAACAAAAACAGAAATAAAAATAAAAATAAAATAAATAACGGCTCTGCTCGAATTTGAGATATCACTTAAACTCTTATTTAATAGATAGACATATGTATATATTAAAGAGTTTTTGATTCAGATTCTCTTATCACATCAAATATATACACATAGCGAACATTTTAGATCAGATCGAGTGCATCTATGTGGACTATAAGAGAGGTTCTAGTACTAGAAAAAATATGTTTCAAAGGTATGTTTCAAAGGTATGTTATGGTTATATGGCATGGCATAGTTGTTATGAGATAAACGATAGATAGTCTCTGTCCAATATAAATATGGAGTAGCCAGCTGAGTTCGTCTAATGTGGACAGCACTGTTTATCGATATTCTCATTCTCATTTCAGGCATGACTTTTACCTACATATTCAGCTGTGTCTATCAGAAATAAGGTCTTAAGCTCAGCTAACCGATAAATGATATAAAAATAAACATAGTTATCGTTGATCTACACATTTGACCCATATTTTTATCGCCTGTTACATGAGCCCACCCTTAATCATCATATCCCAATAAACTCTCAATATTTACAATATCTACAGGGTATGGCAAATAAAGCATCAGCAGTGGCAACAGCGGCAAACGCCATAAAAACAATTTCATTGTGGCTACATTAAAAACAAACCAGAATTGCGTTTTAATAAACAGCAGACAACGTGACAGCTACAACAACAACAACAACAACAGCATACAGTAAAGGCAGCAACAACAATTTGAGCATCCACAGTGCATTTTATGTTGTTGTTGTTGTCATTTTATGTGTGTGAAGTTTTTCATTTCTTTCCATGCGGAGAAAGTAAATAATTTGTTCTTAATTCTTGCCATAAACTTTGGGGCGCTAACAAGTGCCAAAGCGAGAAGTCGCTGACGGGTTAAAGTTCAGTTTGACTTTCAGTTTTAGAACTTAAGCCCTACATAAATATATATATATATACACACACACACACACACACAGAGAAACATTGTGTATGTGTTTTCTTATATTTAACTTTCTATTTCATGCGGGCGTTCATTCAAGCGACCCAAGTGCAATAAAAATTGCAATTTTCACAAACCGAGTCAAAACAAAAGAAAGTGAAAATGTATGTGTGCCTGTGAGTGTGTGTGTGTGTGTGTGTGTGTGTATGTGCTTATGTATGTTTGTATGTGTGTGGGCTTTCTTATACTTGTTGTTTAATTTAGACGCTCTCAGGGTCTTAATAACTTTGCCGACAGACTTTCAAGCATATCCGCCGATAAAGATCGGATACAGCTGCTTAGACAGTCAGAAACATGCGCCCATCGAGTGTATATTAGATTCGGTGTTCGCTTTCATCATTTGCTGTTTTCTTGATGACTCTTTGCAACTAATCAAAGACCAAATCTCACACTAATTAGCCTTTAGAGGCGATCAGCGATGCTGACAACTTTCTGCTTCAGCGGATGTGTCAGCAGCCATACGTGTCAGCAGCCGAAGAGGGAGATGGCGATGGAGTGAATGGGGATAAGCCTGAAATGAGCTTCAGCCTGGACAGGCGTCGCTCGATGGGGATGCAGCACTCGACACTCGGCACGAGGCAATTTTCATTTAATCTCCACACAATTTATTTAAACGCTTGGCCAATTTGAAGCCTCAAGTAAAAACAAAGCAAGTTTAAAGACAGCTTAGAGCTTGCGAAGATGTAATACACTTGCAGACAAAACGTGAGTCAAAATGATGTGGGAATTTGCTAAAAGTATTTCGAGCAGAGTTTATACGAAATATTAGAAATGCTTTTGTATACAAGTTTTTCGCAGAATTTTCCATTATATAGCACATATAAAGGTATGTACAGGTATTACAACTTTGGCATATGAAGGACTTGATCT